AAAAAAAAAAAAAAAGATACCTCTAACAAACCTGCTCCCTCTGCCGGAAAAAAAACAGCCCAGAGCCCGTGACTCAGGGTCAGTGTGGAGATGCTGTATGATGCATTTTGTATCCAAATGACAACTTTAACACCTATCAGTGCATCTTTATTGGATAACAAGAAGAACAGAGACAGAAATCAGGCTTATCCATGGCCATGACTGGAATCTGGAGCAGAGCCTGAATTAGCTTCTTCCTGGGCCCTCCATACCTCCAGCTGCCCAGGAGCCCCAGGTAAAGGGCTAAGGTATGCAGAATACTGCCAAGAAGCGAGGGTGGGCTGCAGGGGAATGGGCTCTGGCCCAGGCTGGGTGTCCCAGGGACAGAAAAAAAAAGAGGTTTACATAATTGTGGCTGGAGGTGAGTTGAGGGCAGGCAGGACACTTAAACTGGAGAGGGAGCAAACAGCTCTCGTCAGACAGACAGTTGGAACTCCAAACACCATCATACCTCAAATATGAGTTTAAATCCTGCCCATTTGCTTAAGTTGACTACTGACTGAACAGTTAGGAATCTGCCTCTTTGGCTACCCAACATCCCCTCTTGTTTTTTACGAACAGTCCCTGAATTTATTCAGGTGTCAGTGTGTGCAGCTAATCCCTACATTTCCCAGTCTTCCACTCAGGGGTGATCAAAGAGGTGAAGCAGAAGTCATTACATGCGGCTCCTAGGACATATCCTTAAGGGCTGACCTGCGGAGGGGTTGTGAGGAGGGTGGAGGTACCATTTCAGCCCCTGCCGCTGGCCTTCCTCTGAGCTGCACTGTGGAACGGTAGCTAGGGCTCGGTCAGTCATCTTGTTATCACGGGGGTAGAAGCTCTGGACTAAGGATGGTAGAGCACAAATACAAAAGGAACCTGGATTCCTGATGCTTCCTTGGAGCTGTGAGATGGTTCTGAATTGCCAACCTTCAGACTTCTTTATATGGGAGAGCAACCTCTGAACTGTGGTTAAGCCGTTTGGAGTTGACTCTCCATGAACAGCTGTGAATGGGACACAATTCCAATGTATGCCTTCATTCAGCTGGGTCACCAGCTTGTAGGAGGACTCACCCTCTGGCCAGGTACTGTGCCAGGTGGGGAGGCCACAGTGGTGAACAAGACAGGCTAGAATGGAACTTTATACTCTCGGCCGGGGGCTGGGCAGACAAAACCAGCAGGCAAAGAAGGCAACCGTAACATTCTAGATAGTGGTAAGTACTAACAATAATGCTAATAGTGACAGTGATAAGAAAATAAAGTACCTTTGTGACTAAAATGGCCAGGGGTACATCTGCTATTTTAGATAGGATAGTCCAGGAAAGTATCTCGGGAACAGGGATGTGAATGATATGGACCCAGTCATGCAAAGATCAGAGGTTCAGGCAGAGGCAATGGCAAGTAGGAGGCCTGAGGTAGGAACTGGCCTGGAGTGTGTTCAAGAAAGCCTGTTTGACTGGCCTGTAGTTTAAAAAAAAAAAAAAGAGTTGGATGGTGGGAGATGTGGTCATAGAGGTGAGGTGGGGTCTGTAGGACAAGGGCAAGGATCTTATTCTAAGCCTAACAGAGAGCCATTGGAGCATCTTAAGCAGGAGAATGATAGGATCTGATTACCTTTTATTTTTATTTATTTTTTTTTAAAGATTTTATTTATTTATTCATGAGAGAGAGAGAGAAGCAGAGCGAGAAGCAGGCTCCCAAGGAGCAGGGAGCCCGATGCGGGACTCGATCCCAGGACCCTGAGATCATGACCTGAGCCGAAGGCAGACGCTTAACCATCTGAGCCACCCAGGCGCCCTCTGATTACCTTTTAAAAGGTTATCAGTGTCACTGCAAGCTCAGGGAACACCTTACCCTGAGATTCCATTTTGGTTTGGATAAAATGCTTTAATTTTAATGCCCACGACAAAGCATGTACCATTCCCTGCTGTTCGGCTTGGCCCAGTTTATGGATTTACATCACACACCTGGCCACCTGAGGCATTTGAGTTTGTGACTCCACATCTCGTCCATTCTCCCATTTTTACAGAGTAAGACACAGGCCCAAGAAATGAACTTGTCCAAAATCAGAGAAAAGACTCAAGCCAAGCTCTTTACTAGCTGTCCCCGCCCCCCCGCCCCCCTTCCTTAACACCCTGCTGCACAGCCAAGTTTCCTTTGTTAGGAAGGAGGCACTTGCCTAGCTCAGTAAGAAAAAGGAACCACGTGGTGTGTGCAAGTTGATAAAGGGAAATCTCATTTGAAGTGGAGTCAGGACACCCTGTAGAGGGACCTCTCACCCACACACTTTCCCTCACAGCTTACCTCACATTCCTGAACAGGTCATTTTACAACCCCAGCAGGCAGAAGAAAGATTTTTTTTTTTTTTCCTCCTTGCCCAGCAACAGTCCAGTCAGTGAGAAACTATCACAACTCAGCCCACCAGAAACCATCACCACCCTGAACTCTTGCTTTCCTCCAACAGGCTCAACAGACCTTTGTTCAAAGCAGCCCTTCCCAACTTCCTCTTTTTTTTTTTATAATGTTCCTCTGTTCCTCTGTTCTCCAGACTGACCTATGGTTTGCCATAGCCTGCAGGTCCCAAATTGCAATTCCTCTGTTACTCCCGAATACACTCATTTTGCTGGTAAAATAACTGTTTTTTGTTTTTTTTTTAGGTCAACAGGTTGTTAAATTATGTATGTCACACCAAACGGGCTCTGATATTTTTATGCATATTATTTCATCTTAATCAGCACCCAGAAACTATTTTATAATGTTGTCATTCGATTTCTGCGAAAATTAATAAAAGGAAAGGTCATTTGGAGTGGAGTCGGAGGCCAGCAGGAGTAGCTCTTGCATGCTTATGGGGGGGGGTGTCAACTGCAGCCCCCAGAGGAAGTGACAGATGCACTTTGCACCTCCGGTCTGAGCAGGAGGTAGAAAGGTTTCCTCCTGCCCCAGCAACAGCCCAGCCAATGGGAGGCGGTCACACTCAGCCAATGAAAAGCCAGTATACTTGGAACTCTGGCTTTTTTACTCCAATGGACTTTTTGATTATAACAGCCTTCCCAACCTCCCCTCTCCCAGCGTTCCTCCCCTTTCTTCTGGGCACTTACCTATGGCTTTACCTAAGCTTGCCTGTCCCAGATTGCAATTCCCCAAAAAACCGCCCCCCCCTTTTTTTGCTAGTTAAATAACTGTCACTTTTATTTTTAAGGTTAACATTTCCAATACCTCTTTCCATGTAGACAGGCTCTGGAGCCAGTTATTGCAAGAGCTAAATAACATCTCACTATGTATGCATGCCCATTTGTGACCATTTCTCTTACTGGGCACCTAAGGTATTTCTGTTTCCCCCCAACTATAAATAGCACTGCTAGCCGACGTCTCGTTTAATACATATTTCTTTTCATGTGCTTCTTTAGCTAATATTCTCATTAAGACAAAAGGTTTAAGATTATTTTTCTAGGATCTGCTACAGACTGCCACGAGCCAAAACAGGCGGCTCCCTGCGGCCAGCACAGCCCTGGCCGGTGTCCCGCTGGCCTAAATGATGGCAGCCCCTGTCCAAACTGACCCTGGGCTGCCCTGCTTCATTTTTAACACGAGGGTAATCACACCACGGACCTCCTAAGGCAGAGGGCCCATTAAAGGAGACGATTCCGCTAAGCACTTATAACCGGACCTAGCACGCGGTAAGAGGTAAGTACAAACCAGAGTCGAAACGGTGAATGGCCCGCGGTGCGGACAGCAGCGCCCCGGAAAGTGCCCCCGCCCCAAGCCCCCGCACCCCGGCGAGGGAAGGCACTCACCCTGCGGGCAGCCCGGGCCCCGGAGAAGCAGCGGCAGGACTCAGCCCTCCGCCTTCGGAAGCAAACTCCCGGCGTCCGCGCCAGGTTCCGGCCCCCCGGAGCCCCGCACTCTCATTCGTCCGCCGGCCGGAGAGCTGCGACTGCGCTCTGTGCGGCAAGGCCGCGTGCACTGGCGCGGTCTCCGCACGGCCCCCGCAGGTCCCCAGAGCCCAGCCGCTCCCTCTTCCCGGCCCTCTCCCGGCGCCCCGCCCCTCTCCCGGCGCCCCGCCCCGCCCCCACCCGGGCGGTCCTGACCTGTGCCCCGCCCCACGCCTCTGGCGCTGGCCCTGCACTGAACCTGGGTTGCATGTGGCGGGGAGCCCTCCTGTTCTGTGCTTCTTCCCTACTCCAACCCTGGTTAGGTATCCAAGTTAAAAAAAATGCAGGTCCATGGCGTAATACTTAGCAAGAAAAAGGATCGAAAACCCAACAGCCTGTGAGACTCTCCAGAAAATTATGCCGAGTGAAAAAAGCCAATCTCAAGAGGTTCCATGCTGTATGACTTATGTGACATTCTTGAAATGACAAATTATAGAAATGGAGAACAGATTAGTGGTTGCCAGGGTTTAGGAAGGGGGTAGCTGGGGCAACAGGGACCCTTGTGGTGTTGGAATGTTCTTTATGGGACTGTACCAATGTCAGTATCCGGGTTGTGATACTGCACTGTAGTTTGGCTGGATGTTCTCATTGCAGGATTCTGAATAAAGGGCACAGGGGATGTCTCTGTTCTTTTTCTTTTCTTTTCTTTCTCTCTTTCTCTCTCCCTTCCTTTCCTCCCTCCTTTTTTCTTTCTCTCTTTTCTTTTTCTCCTCTCCTTTCCTTTCCTTTTCTTTCTCTTTTGTAGGCTCCACGACCCTGAGATCAAGCCCAGAGCTGAGACCAAGGGTTAGCTGAGCCACCCGCATGCCCCTCTAGGTTGTTTCTTAAATTGCATGTGAGTCTACAATTTTCTGAAAAGAAAAAGCTTATTCAAAGAAGAAAAAGGAGGAGGAGGAGGAGAGGGGGAGAAGGTTCTAGGCCAAAAATACCCCCTAGAAGGCAGAGAGGTACATGAGAGGTACTGTGTGTGTGTGTGGGGGGGCTGCTGGTGAGCAGTATGGGTTAATTATCTTTTTTCTTTTTCCCAGCATTTTCTGGTTTATGCTACCTCATTTGATAGCCCACCTACTTTTGTGACCTTCTTAAGGACCCTCCCCACATTCTGTGCTTTGATGTCTGGTGTCTTCAGATGACCATATAAAGCAGAAGTAAGGTTTCCCCTGCGTTCATAATGTTCCTGATGAAAATAACTGCTGCTGTTTGTAGATCAGCTGGGTTGCTGTCTATGTTTTCTGCTGTTGATGTATTCAGCAATGAGAACATGGCCTCTCTGAGATGCCCTCATGCCGGCAGGGAACAGGGCTGCCTTGTCTTGTGAGCCCAGGAGATCCTAGAGGCATGCTCGAGGCATTTTCTAATGGACTAGAATGTCCCCAAAGGTAAAATTTGTTTTGTCTTATCCCCCTTTCTGTTGACTCACTGAAGGGATGTCCTCAAATCATCTCTGTGTCACAGAAAGAAACCAGTCATCCTAAAAGGAAGGTGCAGGCCCCCTGGCATAACTAAAGGTAAGCTTCCTTAGGAGGAGCACAAGTAAGCTATTGTCAGGTCTCTTATGCTGTGAGGACTTCTAAGACCTCTGGGTGAGGGGCGCCTGGGTGGCTCAGTTGGTTGGGCGACTGCCTTCGGCTCGGGTCATGATCCTGGAGTCCCGGGATCGAGTCCCAC